AAAAGTTTACTCGTATTATATTGATGTGTTCAAATGTAAAATTTATTAGTTCCGTAGTTGAACTTTTGAGATAATAGGGGTTGTAACATATCGCAGTTAATATGAACAAGTAAAAACATTTCAGTCGGTATAAACAGACTGAATAATACCCTACACTTTGACAATCTGAGTTTAAAAATTTGTTTTTGAAATATTTAGAAATAACTTTGATTGCTAAATGGCAATTACTTGAACCTGTCAAACTACTCAATAGAAAGAAACTTCATGAATATTATGTCTGAAATTGGACAAACGACTTCCGAGTTTTATGAATCTAGCTCTAATATTTTTCCAAATATTTAAAATTAATTTTCGGAGTTGTACGGCAGCTATCAAACCTAGCTGCACTCGATTAAAATTTTCTGAACATATGTCAAGTGGAATTAGACACATCTTTGCAAAATTTGATATTAATACCTCTATTACTTTTTGAAATATTTAAAAAAACCTCTTTGAGTTGTATGGCAGCTACCCGAACCCGTTGTCTGAATTGGTCCAATTACTTATTAATTAAATAACTACTTATAAATTAAAAGAAATAACTTGTAAAAGATTGTGTCGATTGCATTTTTCCTTTTTGAGTTATCGTGCCATCGGACGGACGGACGGAAATGTCTTAATCAACACAGAATTTTACGCTGAGCAAGAATATATGTATATATTATGTCCATAACGGAGACGACTTCTTCAAGTGGTTACAAGACTGTTAATCGCAAAATTAAGATTATTCTTTAATGTTTTTGTTTTAAATTTTAACAAGATGATGTTTGTATTTATTTTAATTTATGCAACTAATGTTTCACAGCTACTTTATAAAAAATAAGTGAGAAACACACAAGCAAGTTGACGTTATAACTAGCATTCCACCAACTAACTGCCAATTTGCTAATTTTCATATATAAAAATTCAATTTTTATTGAAAGATTTAATGCGAAACAATTTAATAAAGTTATGATAATATTCGTAATTATTCGTAATTACAAAATCTATTTTTTCATAAGGGATAACAAAATTTGATGTTTGTTAGAACTTTTTAAAAAAAAATTTAACAGTTCATGTTAACCGTTAAATTGTTTTACATAAAGTTTTAAATAGACAAAAACCATAAAATACTTAATATAACTAAAATTATAATAACTAATTGATAAAATGCGTTAATCAATCCTGAACACTTATAGATCATTATAAAACCTAACAGGAATTTTTATAGTCAAACGTTCTTTAACAAAAATAATAGTCGATAAGAAAAACTTAAAGCTCGTGTGAAACATCTTTGAGTTGATCACGTTTTCTACACAATTTAAATGTTATTATTGTAAAAAAAATATATCATCTATGTGTATAGAGATATGCATGTGTGTGTGTATACACGTGCGCAATAAAATCACTGCATTAGAATATTAATTAATATGTAAGAATATGTAATACATATGTATCTACATGAACGTATAATAAAATTTTGGAAATAAAGTCGGAGTGAACTGCTCTAAAAAAGGATTTTGGAGTGAACTTTTCAATGTAATACGTTTATGCTTAAATTTAGTTTATTTATTATTATTAACTTAAATTAGTTTATTTATTAATATAAAGTTATTCTAAAAAAAAAAACAAAAAAACTTCTCTATAAAGTTTTTGGTTCAAGGCTAAAGCTCAGGAAAACTAAAAATGATGTAAAGAAGTACCTGAAGAAGGTTTTAGATCTTTTTAACAATATTAAAGTTGTGCGTCCTTAATTACTTAAAGTTAAAGTTTTAAAGTTAAAGAAGAGAATCCAGTGGTCAGAAAAGTTTCATATCCATTGATTCAATAGTGCACATTCAATTGCTAAACTGGTCACTAAACGCTCAATGAAAACAATAATCTACTTATCAGTGTGCAATTTATATCAGGGTTTATTTAGTTTTTATATTCATTATTTTTTTGTTTTTTATTTTGAAAATAAACTTGACTAATTTACATTTTATTAGATATGAAAGCTTTATTTATATTCTATTGCGACACAAATGATATAAAAAGTGTAGGTCAACAATTGTTGCTCTTACAGATTCATCATTCAACAATCACTCGTCCTACATTTAAGTAAAAATAAAATGCGATAACGGCATTTGTTACTTGCTTTTATTTAAAAAAAGTGAACTTTAATTCGAGGATGACATTTCTGACTTGATTCATCAATAAATCAGTTTCTTATCTATAAATAAGTAATTGGAGTACTTTTTTACGGGAAAATATTTATATATAAACATGGTTTATGAAACTTTACCTAAAAAATCAAGCTTAAAAACATATGATGTAATTTGAACATACTCGACCGTATAAAAAATATCTCAACAAACTTGTTGTTATAAGTTTAGTGAAAGTGTTCCAGAAGGTTATGAAAATGTTCTTTAAACAAGTATTTAAAATTTTTATATAAATTTATTTACCGTTCATAAAATGAAAGGGTATCGGAAAGTAATTAATGCAGCATTGATGCAATCATGTACGAAAATACATCAATACGGTAATATTTTAAGTTTATATTGTCCAAAAATGTCAAAAATACGCATCGTATGCGAATCCTATTAAATCAGCGTTGGATCAATTTTTTTTGTCATTTTGTATTGATGCAAAGTTTTTTAAATTGAAGCTGAAAAGTAAATAATTTATTATTTTAACTCAATAATTAATAAAGTTAATTATTTCTTTATGCACGATATTAATATTTTTAAATGTTCTATAAAAATCTTCAAAACTTAATTGAAATTAAAAAATTTTTTTAACAGATTTTCAGTTGTAATAATTGTAATTTTTCACACAAAATCTTTTCAAAATAAATCATAAAAAACATATGATTTAGAATTTGTCCGAAAATATCAAAATAATATTGCATCAGCAAGGTGAATGCATCACATCAGTATAGCATCAGGAACTTTTTTTACATCGAAGCTGCATTGATGCACATTTTTGATTACTTTTCGATTATACCCAAAATTTCGCTCTTAATATAGCGATTCGTTCCCTGGGATCTTATTTTCAAAAAAAGTTTGTCAGGGCATTGTTTTGCTAGCAAATAGATTTTATGCTTCAAAAATTGCAGTAACTATTCCTTCAGATGTTTCAAAAATCGATCCAAGTTCAATTGCCCAATTGTTGTTGAGACTTGATTCAACATAGAGAAATGAAACGCAATATTTTATAGCTTGACTTAGTATTTCGGTTGAGAATTCCAACATATAATAGATGAGCCAAAAAATATAATTGCAAAAATTAACTTAAAATTTGGAGAAACAGAGGAGTACTTAGATACTTTCAAATCCCCCAATGGAGATGTAACTTTAATTTGATTTATTTAACAATCAAAATTGCATTGTGGACCAAGTCTACTCTTTGCGATTCCTCTTTGTATGATAGCTAAAATTTTCTTAATTAAAACTATTCAGCGTAAGTTTTGTAAAAAATATCCATCAATAAATAGTATTTGTTAAAAATTCTTCTCATATTTGCCTAAAATTGCGTTTCGAGAAAACTATAAAATGTAAATATAAAACTTAAATGTTTTTGAAATCAATCGTACCTAGCCTATATATTATTTTGTTAAATGTTTCAAAAAAAGTTTTCTTATTTCAATTTAAATCTTTATTTTAGTTTAATAAAAGAATTTATGTGTAATATAACCGTATATTTGTAAATACTTTTTATTACCCTTATGCAATACTCCAGCTTTTATACGATAATTTTTTCGAAAGATTCGAGAATTAAAAACTTGTAAAATAATTAACAAATTTAGTCAATTGTCAAATTATATACCAGGTTTAGTATAATTTCTTTTAGCTTTTTCTAATTCACTCTAATAATAAGCATTTAATTGATAATATCTGCATGTTTAAAGTATTCTCTTAATTTTAAGAACTTGGGTTGATTTTTTATATAGTACATTATTATTTTTACATTATTTTTTAGTAACATTTATTGTATTTATTTCAATCTACGTTATTATGATTCAAATATATGGTTAAAGCGTCAAACTATAATTTTTTAACACACATTTAAACAGTTCCAAAAAATTTATATAAACTTAATATAAAAGAAAATCAGAAAATAAAAGAACATAATATTTTTTCCTTTTATTTTTCAACAAGTCTTCAATAATTTTAAGGATCTTAATAAAAAAATTCTATTAAAATTAGCATACTTATAATTTTGCATAAAGTAAGGAGCGCAATAGCTTAAAAATTTAGTTTGTTTGTTTAATTGAATTAACGACAAAAGAGTACGGTTGCCGTTATAATGTTGCTATCATAAATGTTCATTGGAGCTTCTAAAATCAAAGAAAGAAACTACTTAAAATTGTTTTATTATAAACTTTGGGGGTATATGATAGTAATGTAAAAAATTTAATTGTGTTCTAGTAAAGTAAAACATTTTTGTTTGTAAACTGCTAATTTTGTTTGTAAACTTTTTTGTTTGCATAACATATTAGTAATAATACATAACTAAAATTAACTAAAATAAATTTTCACCACGAAGAAACTTTTACATAAGTTAAAAATTTCTTCGTGGTGAATATTAAGATATGAAATACATATTATATATTATTAATTTCAACATGCGGTGTATACACCCTTCTATTTTGAAGTGGCCAAGGCAACCCTGAATATACCCAAAATTTTTGTTTATCGTAATAATGTTATTTTCTTTCTCTTCTTTTTCTCTTTAAAAATTTTATAAAAGATTAATAAAAAAATTATATAAAAAATGGAATAGAAACAAAAATATAAAAAAAAAATCCCCTTTTAAGCGCATTTTTAACATTGTGTGTTACACCATTGTTTTCTTTTTTCTCTTTTGTTTTCCTTCGCTTGAACAACGCATGATTGTGGTTGGTTTTCCCTCATAAAACTTCTCAATACGAAAAATTTTGTTTTTTACTCCTGCTTACAACGTTTTAAAAAAAAACTTTAATCGAGCAAAGTCCGTTAACGTGTTTATTACGTCGGTACAAGAAAGACAAAAAAAATATTAATATAAAATTAAAAAAAAAATTTAACATTTTAATTTTACTTTTTTCCGGTTAATAACTATTTTCTGAAAAGGATTTGTTTCGTCGATTGTATTTGAATGTGGTGCATAAATTATATTTAAAATTAATTAGGAAGAAAATGATAAAAAAACTTGATGAAAAAAAAAATGAAAATTTCTCAAAAATTTTTGGTGATTTTAAAAATTTAGAATTTAAAAAAATAATTTCAATAATCTTCTATATACACATATTCAACTTCTATATTCTAGTTTTTAATCAATAATTATTAATGCTCCAATTTAATATTGCAAAATAATAATTTAGTGAAATGATTTCATTTTTTTTAAATTACCTAAATATATAGCCATATTTTTTTTCTAATGTTACGGGATATTGCCAATTCCATTTTAACACATTAAACTTATTATATATTTTGCTAAATTTTTCATTTTCAAATTAAAATTATAAAAAACTTATTTTTATAATTAAAGTTGTAATAATTTCAGCGCAGAATGAAAGTTGTAGATTAAATTTGTATAGCAATTATAAACGTATACATAGAATGTATATATGCTCACTCTCTACATATATATGCATTAAGTACGTAATCAATATATATAAATATATTTATGTATATATAACATAATTTGAGGTAGTTCTACCAATTTATATGTATATGACAAACTTGACATAAAGAGAGGGAGCAAAGAAGCAAAGAAATTGTAGGAAATTTGAAAAAAAAACTTCCAAAAATAAAAAAAAAAACAAAATTCGGGTATTATTACAATAAAAATGTAGTGTTTACGATTTTAGTTCCATGACCTTGTCAAAGAAATTTCGTCAAAAATTACTCAATAAAAATTGTAATATTAAATAATAAATTATCTCCTAAGAACTTTTTAAAACAATTAAAACTTCAAGTGGATTGAAAATTCCTTCCAATTTTTTTTCATGCAACTCTTTATAACTCTTAAGTTTTCAACTGAGAGTGTGTATAAGTTTTGTTTGTCCAGCCCAGGTTGATAAGTCCAGTCCAGCCCACAATAATTTGTATAGTTATTGTAATATTATGAACACTGAATAACATTAAAAAAACTATACACACTATTTTTCTCAAAGTCGTTTAGTAATTATCATCACATTCATATTATATACATATACATATATGTATGTCTGCACAAATAACGAAAATTGATAACGCATATATTCTGCATACTTAATATAAATAATGTACTGTATACTTAATATAAATATGTACGGTGTATGCGATGAACTTCTATAAACTTTTATATATTATGTACCCATATATATGTACATATGTATATATATATAAGTTTATATTACTAAAAATGTCCAATTAGTCTGGACATTAAATGGAGTAAGAGAGAAAAAAACCTAATTTTACAGATGATTTCTCATACAAAAACGTACATATGTACCCTTGTATTGAAAAAGGTCAAGGCTTATACTTTAGCAACTATAAATAATAATAACTGTAAAAATATATTTATGTATTGTGTCCTATAAATTTCAGTATTTATTTTTACTGACTTTTAATGAACCGTTACGGCGGCATTTATGTGCTTTTAAAAATACGTATTTCTAAGAGATGAGAATATAAAAATTAACGTTGAAATCTTGATTTTTTGCTACATCAAATTTTGAACATGCATCAACAATATTATTATTAAAATATAAATTTGTATGTATCCACATAAATAAATTTCTATATATATATTATGTATATGTATATGTTTATTCATAAGGAATATACGACCACATCAAATCACAGACTTCCGCAAACTTTTTCAAATTGTTCAAAATTTTAAATAGAATTTTGTTTTATTTTTTTCTAAGAATGTGTTTTGTTTTTATCACACTGAAAAAAAGGATATTTATTAATACATGTATGGTAATGATTTTCAACACAAACAAGTATACAAATACAAATATATTATAATATATAAAGTATATTTACTAAGTTCTTTACAAATATACAATAAGTAGAAATGTAAATATACAACTCGTTCTTTAGTGTAATACGTTCTTTTATATGTAAGAATTTTCAAGGTCGATCTAAAATATCATTATTATTTTTGTTATTGTAATGATTATTATTTTTTATTTACTATAATATAAAAGGAGAAAAGTTAGTATATTATATTTAGTAAAAACATATAAAATTATCTTAAAAGCAAAACGTATAATTATAAAATAATTTAAAAACTTTTTTTCAGTATACAATATGTATGAATATAGATACATACATAATGTGCCCCTATAACTTAAAATGTATAAGAATATTCAACTTAAACTAAATATATGTAGATATATGGACATAAACATATCTATATATATATATAAAGTAACTTAAATAAGATACTAAATTAAGAGCATTATGGGGGTAAAATCGTAAAATTAAAATGAAATCAAAATCAATTTAATTTTTATTCTCATAGATACTTGTAGCTATTTATATTTAAATGTATAAAAAAACCAAAAACAAGGACGAACTTTATTTAATATTTTATTTAACGATTTATATTTTTACACAAGTGTCGATGTATACATACATAAATATTAAATAATGGGCAATGTTGGAAATAAATATTTAATGGCAGGTCGCTAACAAAGAAATTTCACTGGCATGAAATATTCTGTTTTTCTTACCGATTATTTAATAAAACAAAATTAAAATTTATTCAATTTTCCGCAAATTATCGTCTTTTGTTCTTGTGTGTGTTCGATAAAATTTCTTTTTATTTCATTAACATTCTTAATATTACATGTACGTATATTTAGAAAATTAATCAAAAAAATTAATTGTGTTCCTTATAGAAGTTTGCATTTCGCATTATGATAATATGAAAAGGCAGTCATAAAGATCTTAAATTTGCGAAACAAAATAATAAAAATTATTTGACATTTTCAAAAAAAACTTGATACAACTAACGTCTGTTACTTTTCTCCGTCCACACTATCTATATATAAGTATGTTTATGTAAATTAAAAATTATCTAACAATTTTTATTTGATTTATGTAAAAATAATACAATTCTCTAAATGTAAAATTACTTATCTTTATTAGGCAACATCTGGAATTTCCCTTTAGGTTTTTGTTTTTTGTAAAAGTTTTATTATTCATTGCACATATGGAAAATATGAAAATGATTCTCTTTTCTTAAAAACTTATGCGACAAATAATATTTTGTAAAGTTACACGTATACTTAATATACATATATACGTGCATATAATGTGTATGGATATGCACTTGTGTTGATGTATTTTATGTGTTTGTAAGGGGCATAAAATTTTTGTGTATTTCAAAGAAATATACAATAAAAAACAAGAAGATGGTATTAACAAAAAGTCATTTATTTGTTATTGTTCTTAAAATTAAAATCAATAAATGAATTATAATTTTGTTTTATTTACAATAATAAAAAAACAAATAATATGACACTCAAAAAAACGCACTGACATATTCCAAAATTTCAAGTTTCGATACATATACTATCTGTTTCAGTAAACGATTTTGTTTTGTACTTTTAATTGTCTGAAAACAAATTTGACATATAAAACAATATACGGGAGAATTTATAATCCATCCTATAATACTACAAACATTTTCCTTTATATATGTATTCAGCGAAATGAAAAATAAACTACTTTAACAGAAATCTGTTAGTTTGTAGCAACAGGTTGGAATTGATCTCCAACCGAAGCCGAAATTGTTTTCCTTTCAAATTATGCCCATCCAAATAATCTCGATATTTACGGTCCATAAATATAAATTTAAGAATGCAGTAAAAATACGCTTTTTTAAAAAAGAGTGACGAAAAATTTATAAGTCAGCATATCTCTTTTACAATTAGCATATCTCTTCCCATGGCTAGTATTGTCTCAGGGGCTTGGCATTTTGGGCAAGTTGATTATAGAAAAGTCGGAGTGAAATGCGCAACTTATCAGTTTTCCTCATTATCTCAACATTTATTTCATTTAAAATGCAATATTACTTCACAATATTATGTGATTCTGAATATTAAGGATTTACCAAATAATTTTGATTTTTCAATTTTTTAAAATTTTTTCATAGTTTTTGTCTATTTTTATAATAATTTATTTTTTCGACATGTTGAGAACTTTTATTGATTTTTGAAAAGTTTATTAAATTTTCCACCGCAAAACATTTTTTTTTAAATAAATATGTGATTGCGTTAACACAAATTTCTCTAAATTCCCTATATTGATAACATTCATTAAATTATCTCACGCTGTTATCTGAAAATATCATAGATTCTGATAGGAGTTCAGTATATTATTAAAATGTTTGTAAATATTCACATACAAACATATAACTTTAAAATAGATTTCGATTACGCAATTATTACACAAAAGTATTCTATATTTACAATTTGTTTTTAGAAACAAGTACTAAATACATAACAAGTTATATAAAAGATATTTATATAAGGGAGTAAATTTTTTGACGTTATTCGGCATTTTTTTTAATGTTTACGAAAAAAATACAAGTCAAACAATTACAAGGAGGGTTCTCTTTGATAGAATAGTATGTTATCGTTCAGCAATGCTCTTGTTTAAGTCAAGGTGATGCAGCAATACTCTTTATTAGAATAGATACAACGAAAAGAAAATTCAGTGACCAAAATCACAATTCTTTTTTTACAAATGTTAAAAATTATCAAAAGAAATATAAAGGCGGATTCAAACAATGGTCAAACATATAAATAATAGGAAGACCCAACCTAAAACGCACCAGGATGGTCATAAACTCATAAAACTAATCAAATTGACTAACCATTAGCTTTGTTCCATCGTGTTTTTGTGCCTACATTCCTTGAAAGAAGGCTCGGAAGTATTGTCTCAGCACTAAAGACTTAACCGAGACATCTTGTTCGTTTTATTCTTTCTGTCCTAACTAACTCCTTCATAGGTTGAAAGGCTTCAACATTTACATACCGTTCCAAACGCGCACTATGTTTAAGGCACAGTTCCTCATTTTCTCACTTACTTAGGATACCCATATCTTGTTCTGGAAAGTTTGTATTTCCTTTTGGCGTGTGTTTGCTTGATACATTATTTATATTAATTGTAAATGATACATTGATATTATTTGGTTATATACCGACACCTTGTTGTATGTTGCTAATCTAGGCCTACGGCCTAGGA